CAGGAAGAATGCCAACTGGGCCAGGAAGACAAAGATGGCCAGAATGAACAAGACGCGCTCCCCACCCCCCAGCGTCACACTCAGCGGCCCTGCACCGACCACTGCCAAGGCTCCTACAGGCGACACGTAGATGAAGATCAGCTCCATATCCCCTTGCTCAAAGTCAAACGCCGACATGGAGAAGCTGGCCAACACACTTGTAACGGCCATAGCCAGGTGGAAGAAGAAGAGCCCACACGCCACCCACACCAGGAACGGGTCATTCCAGGTCTCACGCATGTCATGCATCAGCAACATGATCTTCTCCTTGATACTTAGGCCCTCGGTCGGAGGATGCACCTTATCTGGATTAATCTCGAACTGTGCGTGGAAACTGCTATCATCCAGCGACTTGACTGTCTCCAGGATACGCTCCGTGCCAGTGTCAGAGAAGGCGTTCTTGAGCTTGACCCCTGGCTCATTAACCGTCTCGTCATCGTTGATTGCCCTCGGCTTACTGCTGGGGCCAGCACTGGACAGGGTGATGGAGGACTGAGTGTTACCTACGTTAATTGTGCTGCTATTGTAATCCCCATCATGTGAGCTGGGTACCTTCGCATGTGCCGTATCATCTGCTGATTCGTCCATATCTCCGTTACTCAGCGAAGCCTTTCCCTGGTACAGAGAAGGCCGTCTACCAATGATCACCAACGCCGTTTCGGGTAATACAACGAAGGTACCTATAGCTAGCACACACACAGCTCCAATAAGTGATACCCAGACTATGCCGTAGTTCTCCAGAAACATACGTTTGATACCAATGCCAATAAGGCCACCCAATGCTCCACAAACGGTGTTCACGACATTAAAGACAGTGAAAGAAAAGGCCTGTGCCTTGTCATTACCGTCCCCGATGATGTCAGAGGTGATTGCGTTGAACAAAGATTGTAGTACGGTGCTATTACCCACGATGATGGAGGCGATATAGACCACCCATGTGTAACCCTCCAGTAGCGACATAAGTAAAAACACAATGAATGCAATGGTGAGTGCCCACAAGGCATAGAGCACCACTGGTTTCCTACCGTACACATCAGCAATGGACGCTAGAATGGGAATGGTGACTGTACTAGTAACCAGTTTTACACTTGTAGCAACTCCTACAATGTCCTGGCCTTGGTTTAACACATAACTTCTATCGCCACATAATTCCGACCCCGACCACAATGGCGACCCAGGCTCTATGCTGGGGTCAACAGGTGTGTCACAGGAGATGTTCGAGCGAACAAATGGCAGAACCAAATCGTTGCTAAGGATGACCAGGACCTGGCACACAGCACTGATAAATAGTACTCGTTTTAATCCACGGAGAGTGAGCGCAAGTATTCCCCACCACTCCTGCACCTTTGCAATCACAACCATCGTGTCAATCCTTTGATTCTCTTTCGTGATCGACTATATTATAATCTAGCCGTCTTCAATGACTAACAATCAATAAGATTGTCGAACAAAAGCCAGACGTGATACCATGTACCCAAATACTAATCCAAATACTAAGTTACGGATAGCAGCGAAAGCTATGTACTATACATCCCCCTTTCACGACTTGGACTCGTTTGTGTGCAAGAAATACCGCACAAATTGAGATCTATGTACAAACCGATTGCTGGGCCAACTACAGAGAGCACTGTGCTTTTCGTTCAATCCGCCAGAGGAGACTTTAAAAACCCCCTTTTTTTTTAAAACGTCAATCCGTTTAAACCATTTAAAAAAAAGGTGATTATTTCAAAGTTGCACGTACACGCAATGTGTGAACTTAAAAAATGTTTATTCAGGGTTAAAAAAAAACTGGACACCCTGCGAGATAGAAACTCAGGAAGCTTGAATATTTTCTTAACAAAAAAGGGCTCTGAACATGCACCCGTAGCAACAACCAGGGCCGTGTGTATATAGTTTTTAAATGTATATTTTAAATGCAGAACGCATTGATATATTTAAATTTACATACATAACAAGCGGTATAATATATATATAAAAAAGAAACATCTCAGTGGTCCAGACTCCCTGTTTTAAAATTAAAAAATAAGTGAACTTGTATCGGCTCAAGGACATGGAGTCAAGGAATTTTAATATAAAAACTACAGCACCATAAATATGTACAAACCTCTCTCTCAATCTCTCTACTGGTAAATAGAGAGTATTTAGAGACTCTAGTAAGTAGAGACTAGAGAGAGACTATCAGTGTATTTTTTCTAAACTGTTTTATAAAAGTCTCTTTTTTTTAACTGAATTGGAGTCAAATGTAGTTGACCAAATGATTTCCCCAAAATCAATTTTTGATTCGAGTCTCAATTTTTGACAGTCCACTGAGTCGGGAATAGGCGGTTTTTTTTCAGTAGCCCAACCCTATATAATAAAGCGGATATGTGCTATGGTGCACTCGCGTATAGATAACCGCCTCGCGACCCCAAGTTTGAAGGACCAGAGGTCCGAAAATATTTATCCGATCCTGGCGTTATTAGACACGGCAACGGACTCAGAATTTCCAGTAGATGATTATCACTCGGTTCAAATTTTCATATTGGTCTCCCAAAAAAATAGAAATGTCACTCAGCCCAAATTTTTGCCGTTTTCCCAAATCACGAGTTTTCGGTACTTGTAAATATATGTTTGTGTTCTATAACTCGACTGTAGAAAAATATTTTTTGTTTTTGTTAGTGGTCAATCTGTGTACGCAAATTTTTTATCTAATCCTACATATGAATGTTTATTATTATTATTCCATATTGAAGATAATATGAAAAGTGTACCAAAACAATTGGACACAGTGCCTCTTGCCACGATCAGACGCTTTATCAGAGGTTGCTATAGATATATAGACTGCTACGATCAAGGGCTCAATTACCACCTTGCTGAGTTTGCCAAGAAGAAACATACCTTTAATCGGAGGGTACCGGACTATATCTATGCGCAACTCACTGGCGAAGGTGCCGATTGATTGCAAAATGATATTTTTCTTTCGATTGATGCAAGTAATAAACTATGTGTAATAATGGTTTCGACTATGTATTTTTTAAAGTGTGGTGATTTTTTTGAAGTTTTCCGGATCAATGTGAGTGAAAAATGCATGACACAGGTAGAATTCGCCGGCACACAAGTATTTTGTGTCAGACCTGAAAATTTTGCCACAATCAAAATTTTGCCACCTCTTTTTATTCCAGTTTTGGACAGGTCTCACATTTTTTTCACGCAAAAAAATCGAGAAAAAGCGATTGTTTTGTATCTATAGGCGAGTGCACCATATGAGAGTTCGTGTGCGAGGGGTGTGTGTGTGTGTTTATGGAGTGAAAGAGTGACTGATTGAGTGAGTGTGGAGTGGGTGTTTGCGTTTGGGATGTGTGAGTTAGTGTGTGTGTGTCTGTGTGATACTGATTAAGCCTGTGTGAGATTGTGAAAATGTGTACACATCATGTATGTGTGGTGGTGTGTGTGTGTGTGTGTGTGTGTGTGTGTGTGTGTGTGTGTGTGTGTGTGTGTGTGTGTGTGTGTGTGTGTGCTGGTGATAGGGTATGTAGTCATGTACTGTCTGTACTCTTTATGGGTGTGTGGGGTGCTGTGGTCTGTGTGAGACATATTTATTATTTTGCCTCAATACGAACAAATAGACTACCTCTACGATTCTAAGCTTTCAGCCTAATTAGTAGAGTAGAGAGGGTCATAAAGAAAAAATTTAAAGACATGTTCTCCCAGTCAACACGTATCTCAATTTCGCACTTGAGATAAACACCTTATTGGTAAAGAAATGGACTATAGCTGGCTGATTATGACGGACCATTTCAGACATACAGGACAATCTTGGTACCCTCTTAAATTATTCAGTTGGCCAATGAGATGCTTGAAACGATTTGAATTTTATATGTCTTTAAAACACAAGGACGTCAAAAATTATTCCCCACCTTTGAAAAAAATGCTGTTAAAGAATCAATATACGTAATACGTTTGGAAATCGTGACATCATAAACGTAGTAGAAGCTGATTGGTGGTGCAGCCCGCCACATTTTGATTTTTTTGTAGTGTTGAACTGTTGATCAAACATAAATGCTTATCGACAGTGGAGGTGAAGCGTTTGGTTGTAAAATAACAGGATATTCGTCGGTTGAACTAGTCGTTTAAAACTGTGCTGTGTGCGAGTTGTGTAAGGAATTGAAGAATTGAATGAAGGTTCGATGGTCTTCTATCGCTACAACAGATAGTGAATTGAAACTGGAACTACCTCTATGTGCCCCTCCATATTTGAGCTTCCTACAGATGAGACATCGGGTACGGAAGGGGGCCAAGAGAAGGGGATGTGGAGGTATTTATCCGACAGTGTAAAAATAGCGGGTTCCTAATAGTAATTGCACAGTTAACGTATATCATAAACGTATAACGTATAAACGGTTATACTTATAATACTGGAATATGTTTAATGAATTGGACATGAACAAGAACTGAGATATTCAAGATTCTGAACTTGTGATAGTACTCAGTAGAGTATGGGACTCTACTATGGACAACTAGGTGGTTTTCCAAATATAGATTGGTCTTTCCACTGAAATTAGAATTGTACAAAAAACAGGAACGACACTAATCTGACACCTGAAAATAAAACTTTGGGAGTCTCTAATTAACGGGAGTACATGAGAGAGGGTCTCAGGCATGAAATGGTTGTTGGTACAAACCTATGGTATAATTCGATAAGAATCTCAAAGCAAGATAATCCACCGAGAAAAGGACAGGATCAGAGTTGTTAGAATTTAGGACAACATGGTTTTGATTCCTCCTAGCCAGCCAACTAGATGTGCCCGCCTATGCCTTATATGGGATGGAGAGCTAGGTACCAAGTGATGGGGTTTAGGTACAGATGTATACTGCACCGACTTGGTGTTTTGATTTTATTTTTGATTTTCTTAAGTTGGACTTAGAGATATTTTATTGGTTAGTTGATTAGGTGATTGCTTCGAGGCGTGAAATGGAAACTATGTGTCCAATAAAATGATATCTAGTCTTAGTAACTAAAACATAAATAAATCTAGACAGAAGTAATGAGTGATTAGAGCGAAGCATATAGAGAATAGTCTCAGTCTAAAATCCCCCAATCTTTTGGTCATTATCAAGGGCTGAAGTTAACCTTTTTTAGCATTTAACATTTTATCGTATTGACGTATTGTCTTATTAACGTAAACGTCTTGGTATCGTATAGTCAGCCTAGAGAAGGCCGACTTTTACATATTTTTAAGTTTAAAATACGCTATCGATATTATGACGAAAAGAAAAAATAATGCAGCGAATGTAGCTAAGGCTACAAACGTGAAAGGGCTTACTGTAGGCGATAAAAAGCAGAAAACACCCCCGCCACCATCAGTAGAAGCTGGTTGAGATCACGCAGGTACATCCGGCACCAACTCTGACTAAACGGAAACGTAAGAAGTTGGCTGACTCGGGTGTAGATGCATCCGGAGGTAATGTGACTACAGAGCCACAGAAGCCACCAGCAAAGAAGGCGAAATCTCGAAAGGGGATAAGCCGAGAAAACGCAATCCTCGGGAAATTTAACTTCAGAGGAAGTGCGACATGCACTGTAATCAGATGTATCATCCCCACCAGTGGACACACGTAGGCGAGATCTTACTTATCATATGATAGCAAGGGATAGGAGAGCCTTCCTGAAGGACTACCAACCAATGGTACATGAATTGAGACCTACTAAGCAGCGGAAGAAAAGGCAAGCCGCAGCATAGGACCAAAGTCATGGTGAATCAGGGAAGGATGACTCGGAGGATGAGCCAATAGCACAAACACTGTTGGGTCAACCCCAAATCAACGTATCGAAAGAACAACTGCGTTTCGTGGATATAGGTCCGGATGATGTGGACCATACACTTCACCATCAGGACGACGATTCGGACAGCAGGTTCGATTCACAATTCCTTCGCTTACCCAAAACACCACTCCGACCGGCTTGGCGACAGAACTTTGTGATATTCAGGAAAAGGGTCAACGAGAGTTTATCCGACAGCGGGTCAACAGGGCATGGATGTTTCGAAATACGTATGGAGCGTAATTTCCGGACGTAATGAAGACCAAACCGGATGGTACCATGTCACATAGGTATGTGATGAATGCAGCGGTAAGAACATTTGGGTATGGTTTGTTTAGGGATTCTAAATATTACAACCGGCTAATATCAATGAAAATTGCTTTTCCGTCAGTTTCAAAAGTAACTATCGAAGGTATTCGGAAATAGGAGAGATGGAAGTTTTACACACTTACTTTGGTACGCAATTCGGGATCTTCTTGGAGACATTCCCGACTTGAAATCAAACAATTTGGCACTCTATCATTGTAATATTTGGTCTATCAAGGCGATATTAACGCCTTTAACTTATTAAGCGTTTAGGTGAAGTCTAAACATCGTGAAATTTGAAGTAAGTAGACAAAATGAGTCCTTTGTATGCCTCGTGAAAACAGCAATACTCTGAGGGATTGGGAGGCTGAGACATTGCCTATATATAATCCTCTCAGTACTGTTTTCGCCG